TGTACTAGTCTCTGCCGGGAATCACTCCCGGTGGAACGTCGGCGCGGTCACAGAGAAACCGTAAGATTTCCTCAATCCGTGATAGCCGAATCATTCAAGACTACCAAGTGCATCATCGGCTCAAAGCTATGCCCGTAGGCGATCAATCACAATCACGTCTCCTCAATATGAAACACGACCCGGTTGAAGATCATAAAGAGGAGATCTCACACAGTGCAATCATCGGAATATCATCTCAAACCCTGACTACAAACATGCGCTTGACTGTACTCCGACCCTCCATAGTAATGTCTCACGCCATGCCAGCTACCCGGACCCCCAATCACTAGCATTCACACCAGAATCTCATTTAATCATGCATACACACGTCTTTACTTATGGTTTTGGTCTTCCTTTTCATTTACATTTATTTCATTCTTTTATCCTTTGGTTCGATGAAATTGGGTTCCGACCATTCCGGATTACCAATTAACCTCGTTTTGAAGGTTATACTTACCGTGATGAGGTTCTGTTGACGTTCTGGTCAATTTGGCGTTCAGAAAGGGTTAGACCGTTCGGTCTTGGGTCTGGACCAGTTGGTCAAGACCCTTCAGTCTAGATCAATGGTTCGAAGGCCTGGACCGGTCGGTCTGGGGGTTATGGCTCTGGACCGGTCCGTTTGGTAGCACTAGACCGATTGGTCTGAGCCCTTCAGCGTTGACCCATTGACCAGGCCTAGACCGATCGGTCTAGGCATTCGGAATCTCCAGACTGATCGGTCTGGAGGTCATCTTCTTCGTCGCGTCGTCTGCAACTCTAGACCGGACGGTCCTGGCCTGGACCGATCGGTCGCGTCGTCTGCAACTACTAATATGAGTTGATTTTCAGATCATCAGATTACCCATCGAGAGGTGGTTGGCTATTTTCGTCGTTATGTAGACACTCGATGAGAGTGTTGTTTAAATATACTCATAACTTTCTGTTCTTATATTAGATTTGCATAATTTTGGTGTCTATGTATAGATATGAAAAACATCTTTTTAATGTTATAAATGAAGAATTAGTTGGACACGTTTTGTAGAAGTTATGAAGTTAATAATATAATTTGCCAACAACACACCTACTCGTCGAGTGTTGGCTGATTATTTACCCTGAAATGTGGATCATATGGCCATTGCTAGAGATTCTTGATGGCTCGGATTTTATCTGGATTTTATACCGAATATGTCTTTGGTTTCTAGACGGTTTCCACACATACCAGGCATAGTAGAGCCATATTTAGGTCTCTAGGACTAGGTTTTGACCATTGCAGGAACTCGAGGGTTCTCGGGACGAAACGGAGAAGACAGAAGCATAATCTCCCAGATTTTAGGTCTGGAACGGACGGACTCATATGCCGGAACGGACGGACTGGATCCGGAAGAAGAGAAAAGACGAGAAAGTGAAGAACTCGTCCGGTCCGGAGCTGACCAAACTTGGTCAGCCCCGGACCGCAAGAAGAGTCGCCAGTCCGCCCGTGTACTCCGTCCCTCAGCTCCGAGCAAGGCTGGCTGACCAAGCGAAAACGAAGGCCTGGTCCGGAGCTGACTAATCTAGGTCCGCCGGACCAGGATGTACTCCGAACTCAGCCGGTCCGCCTGCCCACTCCGAACCGAAGACGATCTAACTAGACCCGAAGAACTACTGGTCCGGAGCTGACCGTTCCAGGTCCGCCGGACCAGTACGCCGTTGCCCTTCCTTGGTCCGCCTCTCGCCTGCCCTGTCAGCCGGAGTGAGTCCTCTGAAGTCCTGGTCCGGAGCTGACCAGGTTTGGTCAGCCGGACCAGGACCACTTTGCGCCGCGTTCTCGTGCTTGATTTACTCCCGGTCCGCCGGACCAACACCTGGTCCGGCAGACCGCGTGACCTGGAAACAGATTAAGTCCGATTTTTCGGACTTTTTGAAGGGAGCTCGATTTGGGAAAGCAAAGGAGGCGAGTTTCTCTCCTCCAAAAGACCTAGGGCCGAATTCTTGAGGGAGGAACAAGGGGATTTGCTTTGGATTGAAGATTGAAGATATCATTGAGCATCTCTTTTCCTTTCTCTCTCTATGCTTCATCTTGTTGATTTGTGTTTATGAACAAGATGTGTGAGTAGTTTCTTGTTGTGGGATGAGGGATTAGCCCTCATGTAAGGATGCTTGTCTTAACCTTTGGACTCAAGATTTTGTCTTGTTTATGCTTTCAAACTCTTGCAATGAATGGAATTTTGTTCTTCATGATTATCTCTCATCTCTCTTGAATGAATGTTTAGGGAAACCTAGGAATTGTTGAATTGAGTGATGCAATTGTTTGGGGTTGATTGCTAGAGTTTAATGAATGGTGTTTAATGCTTCCCATTGGATGAAAATCTCTTGGGTAGAATCTATGATTGAGAATTTCATATAGACATGGATTCTTGGTTCTTGGTGCATTCATTGAAATGGGTTGAGATTGAATGCGAAGAAATTCGGTTCAATTCAGTCTAGGATCGTGACAAGGGAATTTAATGCATTCGGGAATTTCACTCTAAGCCACGAAAGTGGATAGAGTACTCTCTTGGATAACGGGTTTTCGGTTTGAGAGAGCCGAACCCGACCTTAGTCTTGGAATCCCTCACCTTAGAACGAGCATGATCTAGGTCCATAATCCTTTACGGCATCCTTGCATGATCGGTGAAACCCGATTCCCATAACCTTTCCCATCGATTATCTCCTCTTGAATTGTGATTGTCTTTGATTTTACTTTCTTTCTTTTAATTTTCTGCAACTTACGAAAACCAACAAAAACAATTCTCCGATTTTATTTTCTCCATTTTCCTAGTTGTAGTCGATTCCTAGCTTAACCGCTTAAGTCCTTGTGTTCGACCCCGGTACTACGACATCCGTACACTTGCGGATTAGTTGTGTCTCGGGTTACAAATTTAAAGCTCGTCACGCAAGTGATCAAGTTTTTGGCGCCGTTGCCGGAGACTTTTTACGGTTTCCATAGCTAGGATAGATTGACTCTAGGTTAGTCTTTCCGGAGTCTTTGATTTTTTTGGTTTGATTTTTTGTGTGTTTGTTCACTTCCTTTTTCTTTGTGTGTTTGTGTGATTTTTATTTTTCTCTTGAGTCAATTTTTCTATTTTTCTTTTATTTCTTGATTTTTCTGTTTATTATTTTTGCTGTTTATATTTCCTTGGACTTTTCTGGACTTTTTCTGGATTTTTCGAGACCTCTCTAGACATTTTCAGAATTCTCTGGACTTTTTCGGAGTTATTTTGGACTTTTTCTGGATTTTTCCCGATTTTCTTGGACTTTTCTGGGATCGTTCTGGACTTTATCGGGTGTCTCTCCCTATTCTCTGCCTTTTTATTCACTTCGATTTACCTTCTCTGCCTTTTTCTGGACTTTTATTTCCTGGATTTTTCGAGACCTCTCTAGACATTTTCAGAATTCTCTGGACTTTTTCGGAGTTATTTTGGACTTTTTCTGGATTTTTCCCGATTTTCTTGGACTTTTCTGGGATCGTTCTGGACTTTATCGGGTGTCTCTCCCTATTCTCTGCCTTTTTATTCACTTCGATTTACCTTCTCTGCCTTTTTCTGGACTTTTATTTCTGCAGGTTTCCTTAGTGCATGAGCAGACGTTCCACTCGAAGACAACTCGACCCAGATTTTGAGCTTGCCTTTGACCCGGACATAGTCAGAACCGAGAGGGAAATCCGCAGAAAACGAAGAGAGGACAGAATGGCAGAAGAGGCAGCAAGGGATGAAGAGTAGCCAAGAGAGCACGTCCGAGCTAATTTGCAGACTCTTGGGATGTACACGATGCCAAGAGAGCGTGTCCGAGCTAATTTGCAGACTTTTGGGATGTACACGACGCCCAAGCATACTCAGTTCCTCTCGTGCATCAACCGACCACCCTTAGACCATTTTGAGCTTCAACCGCAATTCATTCAAATGCTGAATCAGATGAGCTTCAGAGGGAGGTATAATGAGGATCCGAATTCTCATCTTACGCAGTTTAAGATGTTGTGTCGAACCATCAAGAAGCCGCCAGGGGTAACAATGGAGGACGCGATGATCGAGGCATTTCCCTTCTCTCTGATGGATAAGGCGCGAGATTGGCTCTATACTTTGGAGCCAAATTCCATTTCTACATGGGATGAGATGGAGGAGAAGTTTATGATGAAATAGTACTCTCCCATGAAGACACAGTTGGCGCTGAACAAGATTAACACATTCGCCCAAGATGACGATGAGACCTTGTATGACGCTTGGGAGAGGTTCAAGGAGTATTAGAGAATGTGTCCGCACCACGGTATGGATAAAAAATATCTCCTCTCTACATTCATACATGGCCTTAGGGACGACACGAGAGGATGGGTTGATGCAGCATGTGGAGGCAGCATGTATGATCTCTCTTTCGAGGCACTAGAAGCGCAGATTGCTAAAATGGTGAAAGGGAGAAGCATTTCAGGGGAAATGGGCAGCAGACGGTCTTTGCCTAAGGCTGATGTCAAAGGGGATGCTAGCGAGTCTTCGGCTTTACAAGCCGTTCTTTCGGAGCTTTCTGCCATCAAGCTGCAACTTGCTAAGTCCGGTTCATCAAACCCGCAGAAGGGTAAACCGGGCATGTACATGGTGGAACAAGGAGAAGAAGCCATGGAAGAAGTCGACTATGTGGAAAGAAATCAATAAAACAATCAGTCGAACTTCTACAATCCGGGGAATCAGAATCACCCTCGCTTTTCTTATGGCAACCCGCAAGGAGCGTTGAACCCTCAGCATCAAAGCGGAGCGAAACCTCAGGGACTCCCAGGGTTTCAGCCTAGATACCAGAATCAGGGATATCAGAGTCATAATCAAGGGTATCAGAATCAAGGCCAGGACTACAATCAGAGGAATCAGGGGTACAGAGCTCCTCCGCCTCAGGCTAAGGAAGAAGAGTCGGAGTTAAAGTCGATGTTAGCTCAGCTAATGCACGATCAGAAAAACTCGTTTTTCAGCTTGGGTCAAGAGATGCAAGGATTCAAAGGGAAGCAAGATAGCTTTGAGCAGAGATTGGATGGGATGGATGCACATCTCAAGATGGTGGATAACCAGATTCCTCAGCTTGCCTCCCAAGCTGCGAGACCTCAAGCCAATTTCCGGGTAAGGCTGATCCTAACCCGAGGGAGCATATTAATGCTATAGGCTTGAGAAGCGGAAGACAGCTTCCGGAGACCTCCCCAGTTGTCAGAGAAGAGGGAGAAGGTTCACACGAACTTCAGAGGGCCGCCTTAGATAAAGGTAAGGGCCATGTTGTAGAGGGGGAAGATGCGAGGTATATTTCGCCTCCTCCACAGGCACCCCCTCTACCATTTCCATCTCGGGCGAGGAAGTTTAATGAAGACAGCCAATTCGCCAAATTTACGGAGATGTTGAAGAAATTGGAAGTGACCATGCCCTTTCATGAGGTAGTGTTACAGATCCCGTCCTACACTAAATTCCTGAAGGATATTCTCACGAAGAAGAGGGCGGTTGAGAAGGAGACAGTGGCACTTAGTACAGAGGTGAGTGCTGCCATATTGCAGACGGAGTTACCGCAGAAGATGGCTGATCCCGCTAGCTTCTCCATCCCGTGCAGATTGGGAAATGTGGAGATTGAGAGGGCGCTTTGTGATTTGGGCGTAAGTGTCAGTTTGTTGCCTCTCTCCATATTTAAGAAGCTTAATGTCGGTGAGTTGAAACCGACAAGGATGGCACTGCAATTGGCCGACCGATCAGTGAAGTATCCCGCTGGGATCTTGGAGGATGTGCCTCTGAAGGTAGGGGAATTCTATGTCCTCGTCGACTTTGTGGTTCTAGACATGCCGGAGGATTCTAAAATCCCCATTATACTTGGTAGGCCGTTTCTGAATACGGCTGATGCTGTTGTGCATGTCAGAGAGGGTAGACTCACAATGAAAATTGGTGATGAGACGGTTGAGTTCAGACTTGATCAGAATCTTAAGCAGCCGCATTTGGTGGAGTCTTCCTTCTACCTGGACTTGATCGACACATTGGTCGACGAAGTGAGGGATGAGTTCAGAGACTCAGATCCCCTTGAGATGGCATTGAACGCGGTACAAGAGAGTGTGTACTGCGATTGGGATGAAGTCCGAAGCATTGTTCGGACTTTAGATGACAGCTCATCGATTGAGCTAGAGGGCTGGAAATACAGGGCCGTTGAGCCCATATCTTGTTCTGCCCGTGAGTTCCCTTGGCTAAGGGACGAGAAAAACGGAGAGGAGCCATCACCTTCTCCGAGTCATCAAGCTCCAGTCTCCTCCATTCAAGTCAAGCAACCCGATGTGGAGACGAGGGGGAAGAAAGATTGGGATCCAGAGAGCGCGTCAAAGGTGGAATTGAAGCCCTTACCACAAGGGCTTAGGTATGAATTTCTCGGACCTAATTCTACTTACCCGATCATTGTGAATGCTGCTTTGACTGATGTGGAACAAGCTGAATTAGTTGCATTGCTTAGGGAGTATAGACAAGCCTTGGATTACACTCTAGATGACATTAGAGGCATTAGTCCATCCCTTTGCATGCACCGCATTCATCTAGAGGATAGCTCTAAGACCTCCATCGAACATCAACGTAGGCTAAACCCGACCATGAAGGAAGTAGTGAAGAAGGAAGTGCTCAAATTGTTAGATGCGGATATCATTTACCCGATTTCGGATAGTGCATGGGTTAGTCCCGTGCAAATTGTACCAAAGAAGGGGGGTATCACTGTGGTAGAAAATGAGCATAATGAATTGACACCCACTAGGACGGTTACGGGTTGGAGAATGTGTATTGATTATAGGAAGCTGAATTCCAACACCTGTAAAGACCATTTTCCGTTGCCCTTCATCGACCAAATGCTAGAGAGGTTAGCCTTGCATTTCCACTTTTGCTTTTTTGATGGCTACTCGGGATTCTTCCAAATCCCCATTCACCCTAGCGACCAGGAGAAAACCACCTTTACTTGTCCATATGGCACCTTTGCATACCATAGGATGCCCTTTGGTTTATGTAATGCACCGGCAACATTTCAGAGATGCATGACTGCTGTGTTTTCTGATCTCATCGAGGATGTTATGGAAGTGTTCATGGATGATTTTTCTGTCCATGGGCCCTCCTTTCCTGTGTGTCTAATGAATTTGCGCCGAGTGTTGGACAGGTGTGTTGAGGCGAATCTTGTGCTGAATTGGGAGAAGTCACTTCATGGTCCAAGAGGGCATTGTGCTAGGCCACAAGATTTCGAGAAGAGGGATAGAGGTTGATCGAGAAAAGGTTGAGGTGATAGAGAAGTTGTCGCCTCCAAAGAATGTTAATGGAATCCGGAGTTTTCTGGGACATGTTGGGTTCTACAGGAGGTTCATCAAGGACTTCTCGAAGATTTCGAGGCCTTTGACCGAACTACTTGCAAAGGACGTGCCTTTTGAGTTCACCCATGAGTGTCAGGCCGCCTTTGAAACTCTGAAGAAGGCATTGATCTCTCCACCCATCATTCAGCCACCAGATTGGGAAGCTCCCTTTGAGCTTATGTGCGACGCTAG